CGGAAAGCAAAGCGGTGGCTGCGGCGAAAGGCTACGCACGCTCCCGCGGGGAGCTGATGTCGCCTGCGTGGAGCCACCGCGGAGAAGCTGGGGCTCCGGATGCTCTGCGGCATGTTTCCGTTCTAGATCTTGGGACTAAGTGTAGATTTGTGTTACGTGGGGGAGATTCAAAGATGTCTTTGAATCTGAAACACGAACAGTAAGGGGTTTTTCTGTTCAAAGAAATGTGGGGGGTTTGTGTGGAACGTGTGCTTGAGAGTATCTTCTGAAGGCTTTGCAAAAGGGCCGTTTTCTAGAGTGAAAAGGACTATGTCGGTCCTCTCCCACCTTGTAGTGAAGGACTGCAGAACACTGTAGACTTCTCATCCCTTAAAAAAAAAAAAAAGAGCTTTAGCAGGTTCGGCACTGCTTCGCGTTCCCAGATGTAAAAAATGGCAAAGGACTGCCAGCCATTCCCCACTCGCCCTCTAAGGCAGTGACAGAGGAGTACAAGTTACTATTCTCTTGAAGTTAAACTGAGCAAAGAGGAAACAATATCACACCAAGTCACAGGCTCCATCCTGCAGTTACAGGGACGCCGTGCTGGGAAGCAGACAGTAGTTGATGACATTCACTCTTGGCTCCTCCAGGAGTTTGAGGAGCTGCCATACCTGTTCCAAGCGAGCCTGCTAAGCCCCTGCAGTCTTCACACCCTCCATCCCTCCAGTGCCCTATCAAGGTCAAGCTTCACCTCCCTATTATTTTGTCCCTTTCTGTTTTTCTTATCCTACCTGTTCCCTCTCTTCTGACTTCCTTTTGGTTTCACAAGGAGAAACAGCCAACATGGAAGGATGGTGGGGAACATTAAGTCTTCTTTCCTTTCCAAGAAGCTGAATGCCTGCTGTACCCTTACGGTCCCTGCCTCTGTTAAGGTGTCCTTTCACAGAGCAAAGGGAAGCTTTTTGGTTGAGTTTTAGGGTTGTTTTTTGTTCGTTTTATTGTTTGGTTTTTTATGTATGTTTGTTTTTTTAAGGCAGGTGAAATGTCAGATCCAAACTACAAGTTACACAGATGCAACGATTGGGAGTTGGGGAGTTGTCCCACATAGAAAAAGCAGCAAGTTAAGAAATTTTTCTATCACTTAATGCTGCATTTATGTTGTGAAACCACTTTTCAGCTGAAGTGCGCAACTGAGAGCCCAGCTCTTCTTTTTTTCTTTTAATACAGTTTTACTTCCTAAGGAGTAGTTGGTGTTAGTCATTTTCCATTACTCAATGCTAGTGAGTGATTACTCAGTGCTGACCACAGAGATAGACCAGTCTGTCTTTAATCCTACAACACACAAAGAAAATTATCTTGAAAAATGCAATCTTTTCTGTGGTGCTGCTGTCTTAAATTCATGATTCAGGTTCCTAGATCTACCCTCACGTCTACATAGCCAAGCAACCACAAAAATCTGAAAGCGTGTACAAACTGACATATATCAAAGTTACACTAAGGAGTACTTCCTCATTTGCAGTGATGAGGAAACTGCACTATTGGTTTATGTATTCATCTATGAACACACCTGCAAATTTACAGTAGCTGCCAGTTTCTTTTAAAAAGGCTCCAAGAAGTCACACCAATACATCTAGTATTCGTGCCATAAGGCAGTAATGAAAACAATGGTTTTATTTACGTTGTGACACTTTAACACTGGTTTCAAACAGAATAATTACATTTGTGAAGTGGTATCATAATAAACACCACAAAAAGCATGTTACAGAAACAAAGAGTTCCGGTAAGATATACAAGTTTAAGACAAGAAAATGAGCTGTGGAAAAATATTTGTAGTTTCCATGAACTGTGTACAACTCTGTGTGAAAGAAACTTTTAAGGACAGGAAAAAAACTTTAAAGGCAGAGTTAAGGCTCTTATTTGCAAGTGATCTTCCTATTGGAAGCATACTGAAAATATTTTCTCTAAACAGGATGCAGCTTGAAGACTTAAACCTGTGCACGAAGCTTCACAAGTACGATGATGTAGAGCTCAGTGTCCATAGTAAGGGCTGCGTGTCTTTTGTTTCCTCTTTACACCACTCTACTATACAAATGAGCCTTTACCATATGCACCCCAAGATTAAGACATGCATGCAAGCTAAGTCCCCATCAGGTGTAAAAAAGAGAAAAGGCATTTCTTCTCTTGTCCCCATTCAGTTGGGAACTATAATTGGTATTTCCACAATAGAAGGAAATTAGACATCCCTTTGTATTAAAAAAAAAAAAAAAAATCGATATAGAGTATCTCTAGTTACTGCAAAGTAAACTTGCCTGTTTTAGCTTTTAAAATGCATGAAAGTATAAACCTGGATAAAATCAAGTAAACCAGCCTCTCTGTTAAAAGCAGTGTCAGGTACATCAGGTTGCACTCCAGGTGAGTCAGATGAAGAAACATGGAACAATGGTTCTGCTAGCACTGAAGAGAATGAAGAGGAGAACAAAGCCTTTAATAAACCTGTAGCTAAAACCAGTACAAGTTTCAAAACAGCATCTAAGGTGCTTGGTGGCACAAAAAAAGGGAGATCACCCAGACAGGTCAAAATCATCCGACTGATAAAGGGACCTACTATACACACTGAGGTTCATTTCAATCCATCTTCATGCATTTATATATGCTGTACCTCCCTCAAAGCTACATGCCCATTTCATCCAGGATTTTGGATGTCATTACAGGAAAGGTCTTTACTGGAAGTTAGCAGAGTGCGGGGGGGGGGGGGGGGGGTGTGTTTTATGTGTGTGAGGGTATTTTTTAAACAAAATACTTTGCAGGCATTGTAGGGTACAAAGTATCCCCACTGAGCGCCAACATGAAAATGAGGACACAGAAAGTGTGGGGGGAAGGGCAGGACATTAGCTCATGTAAGAGCTGCTTCTGACGGGTTCTGCCTTAATTGTGTGTACAAAGTACCCACTTGTACTTATCACAAAGTACAAGTAATCGGTTTTTACAGCACTGCAGAAGACATCTGCATTACCCATACACATCGGTCAAATCTTGACCCATTCATGCTCCAGTCTGAAAGTAACGCGGCTTTGCTGAGTGCTGCCACTCTCTCAGCAGGACTTACCTGCCCTGGCTGGGGCAGACCAGGCCGTCAGCTGGTCAGTTTGAAACACAGGTCCATGCTGACATTCCAACAGGCTGAACACCGCAAGCTGGTATATACAGGGTGGAAACTTTAAGTTTTGAAATCCTGTTCTTGGGAGACAAATTTAAAGCTGAAGGGACTTTAGGAGTCAGAAGTATCTAAATGCTTTTTCTTTGCCCCTGTTTGTTCTACAGAAGTGACTATGTTTGATAGAAGAAGAAACCGCATCTCCATATTGAAAAATTAGCATCACCGCACTGGACTGAGTTGAGTTTAACTCCTTCTTGTGAAAAGATGGCATTAATCCTGATCCAGGCCCTTAGAAGATGAAATATCCCACAACTGATAACCCTGTTACCTTGCTAAGGAAAGGCAATAGATGGGAAAGGCACACTTCAACACCCAATTAGCACAACTCACAAGTATCTTTGGCAATGCATCCATTCTAATGAATTATTCCTCTATAAATCTTTCAAAAGGACAGCATCCTATTTGCCTTATTCACTCTCAATCTCTCTGTGATTTCAGGAAAGCTCACACTGGAGAATGCATGTAACTGTAAAATAACTTTCATTCCTTTATTCAAACTTCACATATACAGTGGACAAAAAGACATTTTAAAATAGATCCATATAATTATATGGATTTTTGCAACATATTAACTTCAGATCAAAATTAAGATATACACCGTATTCCATAACCAAGCTAAAGCTTAAGTGTATACTTCATTTGTGTAATAAAACCCAGGAACTACTCTGAATACTGGAACATTCACCAGTCAAATTCCATCAAGTGCGAAGTTGTTTACAGCAACTTAGAGGTTCAGAATCCCTCTTTACAGGGGCTATACAACCACACTGTAAACAAGTATATGAATTAGGCAGTTTCCCTTCTATTCTTCCAAACAGCTTTCGTTTTACAAAAGCAGCTGCTGTAGATTGCAATGGATACAGGAAGATTTAGACCAGTGGTTTTCAGTATGCAGGTTACCAACCGCAATATATAAAAGAACAGCCAGAGCCTAAACTCAGCTCATTTTCAGAGTCCTGATGTGCATTTGCTCATGGTTGGGTGTTTTTCCCCAGGTGCTAGTAAAACAAGTACTCTTCGTGCAACTGGAAAGTAACAAGAGTTTGAAACAAGAGCCAGAAGACTGATAGTGGATGTGGTTGTAAGAGAAAAGTTGGAGGGAACTTCCATGTTCTCATGATAAACCAAAGAGCTCCACAAAACATCCAGTCCCAATGGAAGAGATAACGACAGTTAAACGCAAAGTTCAAGTTAGCACATTTCCAGTGTAAAACCATCCCCTCCACCAGACTTAGTACTGCCTTAGTCAGAAACGAACTGATTCCAAACACCACTCTTAAAAAAATCATACAGCTCTTCTTGTAAAGACTGGGAAAGTACAGGTAATAACATACTGAAATCTAGATCAACAGGTCAACATTTTACAAAAAAGTTTTAAGACTTAAATGATCCCTTTTTAAACTGCTGAACACATCTGATAAACAGCTTGCATGTCAATCTGATATATGCTGTACCGTTTGGCTCTTGAATCCCAAACCTTTCCAGAAGAGATACCACACCTAGAACACTGTCAAATAAATAGCAAAAACCCAAAAGATAGTGTCTGTTTCGAAGCATGAAGAGTAACAGTACATTATGCAAGCTAATCAGCGTTACATATACAGGGAATGCCATTCTGGTTGAACGGATTATGAAGCAGTATTCTCCATGAAATACTAGGCACAAGAATAAATCAATTAGACAGGTTTTTCTGCCTAATGGACAAGTCTGGCAATACAACATTGTAACTGATATGCTTCTCAATATTTAAGAGCCTTAATTGCAAAAATCATGAAGCGATGTTTGTATTTGTGTCTTTGACAAGCAGTTACAGTTCTGGACAGATTTCTTCTATGCTGTGTGCTCTACTTTCCAGCTGGTCACGAGTAGCATGTGCTGCATAAGAAAGATTACAAAAAATAGGTAATGCTCATTGAGTATTTTCAAAACACACACAAAAATCCTCCTGAAATCATCTTTCTTCTCCAAAGGTAATGTTTGCCAACCCATTTTAGCAACCTACAAGCTGTTAGTTTGAGAGTGCAGAAACTTCCAAAATAGTTGTTTCACCTTCATGTTCTGAAGAAATGGCTAACAGCATTTTTCATCATACCAAGCACTGAACGCTCACCACCCCTGGAATTCAGAGGATTTAATCCAGGAGTTGAGAGAGATCAATTTGCAGAACTAACATATGGGGTTCCTGAAACACAAGCAAGCATAGTACTTTTCAGGTCAAATTTCAATTCCAGATGAGACACTTCAAAACAAAACAAGCTTATAAATGAAGGAGCACAGTCTGTTGTGTTCTTCAGGAAGTCGCTAAACTCATGGTTTTGATCCAAAGAATACCAATAAATCATATATATATATGATTTTTATATATATATATATATGCACATGTGAAAATTCAGCAGCATAAAGCAAAGATCAGAGAAAACCACATTCAAATGATAATCTTTAAAAAAGGACAGCTAGGCTTCAGCACATGTTAGACTTGGTAACAAGTGCAGTTTAACCAGTGAACAGCATAACTAACAAGCAGAACCAATTTGTGTATGCTCCCAGCCTTCTCACTTAAGTCATCTTTAGGGTGATGCTCACCATGCTTACGAAAACACAATGTATTCTGTATCTACCAAAGGCCAAAAGAGCACACCCAGTCAGCTGACAGCTAAGCTGATCAGCAGTATCTGAGCAGGGTTATCATAGCAATGAATGCTAAATGAACCATAAGGAGAGAACAATACTTTTACTGCTTGTCAATTGAACTGATATAGATCACACCCTTGTATGTGATACTTTTGTGTAGCAGAAGTAAAGACAGGTCTGCACTGAAGTCATCACGTTTACATCTACCTACATCAGGCATCTTTCCTTCAATGATTTTTCAAAGAGAATCTTTAACGGAAGAGTGTTTGTGGAGAGGAACAAAGGTCACTATTTTGCTGGCAAAGTCTATTTATGTCGTTCATGGAGTCATAAATAGGGAGTAGCCAGAGAAATTCCAGAGAAGCTGAAATGCTGAAGCAAGCAATCCTAATGCAGTCTATTACAACTTGAACTTTCTTTTCCACCAAAAAGCTTGGCTGCTAGAATCCATATGCATGGGAAAAGTTACAGCTACTTGAGGCAAGAAAGGAATGACCCATCCACTTAAAACACTTCGTGGCCCACAGTGAAGACAAGGGCAAAAACATTCAAACAGTTCTCACCATCACTGACTGGACTGGCCATCTTCATTTCAATCAGCAAGAAATCTCAGTCTGTAACCAAGAAGCGCAACTCATTAGCGGACCTGGCAGCATCTGACGGAAGCCTTCGTAAAAACCTGACCTAAGTCTTTAGCCCCTTCTAAAAAAGCAGAGTGCAGAGATTAGAAGAGTACTGTTAGTTTTACCCAAATACAAGCCAGACAGGATTAGAGGGTAGAAAGGAGCATCGAATAAGAGAAGCACAGAACCTTTAAGGGATCTTCATGGACAAAAAAAAATTCCAAGTGAGAAGAGGGTCTCAAATTGCCTGAAAAACCACGCAGGAGTCAGCGGAGCCCTAGAGTCACAACAGACCACTAAGAAATTCCTCTGAGGTCACATCTTTATCTGGAACAATTATCAGTACTATAGAAGTCATGTTATTCCACTGGAATAAGATGACACTGCATGCCAGCTCTCACCTACAACAGACTGACAGTCTCAGACATAATAGGTGAGTGTTAGCCACATCACCAGATGATTTCCATAACTTCAGAAGAACTGAAGTCAAATGGAAGAAATAACCAAAATGTAGCTATAATACATGCAGAAAAAAACCAGACATCTCCTTTGCAGCTAAAAGCAAGTGCCAGAGCTGTTAGTCAGTTTAACAGAGTGAAGCCAAAATAAACCATAACAACAGTCGGCTCCTGCATCGCCCAATACACTGAGTAAAGAAAACCTTCCTTTTCTGCTCTATAAAAAAGCACTTTAAAATACAACAGTTTGAAATTGAAGAGCTCTTCGAAAGCTATACAGATAAATAATCTTTCCACATGCTTACAGTCCTAACAGGGGAACCTCAGAAACAAGAACATTAATAGCATTTTGATCCACTTCCATGAAGGAAACAACCGAATTGAAATACTGTTTTAAACACCCAATTCCGTAATACGACCAAAAGCACAGGCTAGCAAAAAACCTAAGTAGCCAGTGTTAAAACCAGCTATTTAAGAAATGTTTTCAAATAGAGAATGCTCTAATATCTGTTTAGTTAACATTTATGAATAAAGAGATTCTTTTGTGCCCTCAGAATACAGATGAGAGAATGATACAGCGATGCCATCTCAAAAAAGTTATTTCAGTTAATTTTGACATTACTTTAACACAGCTATGTTGCTGAACATTTATCATCTCAGTGTAGGAATTTCTTAAAATGTGGGCAGTGGCAGAAGACAGAGAGGTTTATTAACAGTTTTGTCCATATTCCATCAGCCTTTGACCCATGCTGCCACAAAGAATCACGCATTATCAGTCTGAGGGTGTTCAATTCACCAGCTGCTACAAAAGTGAGACCAGTACTTAAGCTTAGGAGAACTGATCAAGTACAGAGACCAAAAGCTATGACAGTTGATGCAGAGATTAGGAGATAATGAAATATCAAGGTTTGTTAAGCAGAATGATACAAAACACAAATGAAGAATTGAGAACTACATCAAGTTAATGGAAGGTATTTCTATATGCCACAGTGTGGAGGCAAACCAGTTAGTTAATGGGTTGATAAACTGGCAAACAGTTACATTTATGGAATCTATTGGCCATGAGCAGTCCAAAATTTATAATTACCAGTTGTGGCTCTGAAGCTGGTTATGAGGCAAGGTGGAATGGACTTCAACAATAGAGATGGAAAAATGCTGCAAAGGTGTGCCTTCTTTCCACTGGAGAATGCGGCTGGGGAGCGGAGTTGCCTCTGTTTTACAGCAGAGTGCAGAGAGATGGCAGCTTCAAGCCATGGAGAAAGGTCATAAGGTTGCCTATTGGAGCCCTCCTTTCCCCTGGAGAGTGAAGTTCTAGTAAATAGCCATTATAAGGCATATGGTAAGTTACTGGATAAAGTCAGTCCATTCATGGGTCTCAAACACATACCGAATGACCCTTTAGGAGCAATTATGAAGGCATCAGTGCTCCTATAATGGGACTAAGTGTGCAATCCACAGAACTTAAAAACACAAACTTCGCAAATCACCTTTTTATTGTCTGGAATTTAAACTAATTTTAGACAAGTTCCTCGTTCACATGGTTGTGAAAAGCAAATGTGAACCAAGTTAAACCCATGCAGCATCTTCCCAAGTCTGCAGATTGTGCTAACATCTTCATAGCTTTGCCAAGCAACAGATGAGTGAGGCTTACAGACTTCATTGCCACTAGTCTCATGAGCAACAGATGCCTACTTTTTTAATGCCAAGAACTTGTTCGAAGTACTGTTACACACAGAGGTGGGTAGTGAACAGCTGTAATTATTCACCAGAAGGCCACCACAAAAATCAAAGATTTTTATTATACAGTCTACCCTTTTCACCCAGAGAGAAGCTTAAAGATGAAAGAGGTGTCAGCCTCTATATTTTTATGAGTTTCCTGTCTCTTGACAGCCCTGAAGCAGGTTCCAGAAACAGCTCCCAGCTATACATCCCAGACTTTCTTCCAGTAGCTCCACTATAGGCAAAGCTGAGGGTCTTATCGCATACTACAGAAACGAACATTACCGCTTAAGGACAAGTGCATACTCAAGTCCTAACAGCAGTTTTACATTACAGTAAGATAGGCAGAAGTTCTTACTTAGGAAGTTAAGTACAGTCCTCTCAACAGGGAGGAAACATTCATGCTACTTTCCGATTGCTGGCTACAGGATGGCTTGGGAGCAGAATGGGAACTGAACCACAATACAAGGCCAGGCTCTCCCATGTGGCCACAGCTTTTAGTGTTCTGTACAAGGCAACTCTTCCTTTAAAAAGGATGCTGGCAACTTCACTACAAAAGTTAGTTATGCTGGGGAAATAGTACAAAGGAGAGGTGTTTGCTTTTCTGTTATGTCACAACAAACAGAAGCCCACATGCTTAATTAGCAATACTGATGGTTTTGGTACCATGTTACAAATCTACTAAATCCATCAAGACAGCATGCAGTACTGCAGATTGAGCATCACACACATACTGTACGCTTTCTAGTTATTCTCACGCTTGAGTGTATTCATTTCCCAACAACTGAAAGGACCACCAGTACTTAAATATGCTTTTTGATTAATCAGTAGCTCACCATGTTCGGTAGCTTCTGTATTCATTGTTTCTACATCTGCAGCATCATGCATCTCTTCATCCTCATCATCATCCTCTTCTTCACCGTGTAGCTCTTTTGCAATGAGCTGTCTCGCCAGTTTGATGTTTCGTCCTTCATTGTAGTGCATTTTTCTCTTCATTTCAAACTGTTTCTTCTTCTCTGTGGACAAGCAAATGCAAATATTTATTTCTTCCCTTTAAAAAAGAAAAAAATTATTTCCTCTTCAGAGAGGCACTAACTGCTTCCTAGGTCAAATTTATGCCTACCTTGAAAGTCCACTGATTACATGATCAAGCAATCACAGATTTTCATTATTTTCTTCAAGCAGTGGAGTGTTCTTTTAAATGAGTCTGAATTACAAAAACGCTAGTAATTAGTGTACTGGAATGGCTGAAGCACTTTTAAAAGAACCTGTCTGCAAGTAAGAGGAAGTCTGAACCAAGAGAAGCATCCAGTAACAGCATACAAAATTCCAAAGTTTCGCAAGCCTTATTTCTAAGTAAACTTAAGGACAAATTGAGACATACTGGCGGGATAAAAGATGAACTTTTGCAGATGTTTGACTTGACTCCTGGCTAGCTACCAAAGGCCAGTTATGAGGATATATTTACCACATGTAGAAGAAAATATTTTCCACTTTCCCCATGGCCTGAAGCCTAATTTTGCTCCATATATTAAACATTAGCAAGTCTAGCAGTAACGTCTTATAATTAAATTAATATTTGCTTATTGGCAGTCCCAACACTGTTTTTTTCTTCCTTTAGAATAGTAAGGTTACACACTCAAAGTTGTGGCCAGGAAGGACAAGAAGCAACAGCTAGGTAACACAAGCCTGAAACCTTAGAAGCATTGCTGTCTGACTGTTTCTTCAAAATGTTCTAGTGCAAGCCAACACAAAACAACAGCTCTGTTGCAGATGCATGAGGCAATCTGTTTAGGAATAAATGTAGATTTCCCACTGGATCCATCTACTAGTTTCTTTGAAAACAACAGAAATATCATCTGTATATTTGCAAGCAATTAGTAGCACCTTTACTACAGTGGTACTCGCTGAATCGTTAAGTCTACCTGAAATACGTTCAGATTAAGAAGTACTCCCTCATGCCAAAACCAGAAGTTTCTCATTTGAATTCCCACACCTTAAGCTTGTATACAAAGGGACAGCCAGTAACAGCAACTTCCTGCTAATCTGTAGGTCCGAAACCAAACAGTTCCAACTACAAACAGTGTATTTGTTCGATCTTACTTACCCTTCAAAGACTATCTCCATTTTCAAATGACAACATTTGTGTTAGACAGTACTTTTTCTTCCCAAATATTTCCTACTAAAAGTCTGAAACTATTTGTAGGGGAAAAAAAAAAACAAACCAAAACCAAGAAAACAACTTATGCCTACCTCGTTCTTCAGGTGTTAATTCTTCATCTTCTTCCTCCTCCTCACTGCTTTCCTCTTGCTTTGCTATAATCTTGGGCCCTTTACCTTCAGCTGCAGCTGCCAGTCTGCATAAAATATGCAATACAAAATGCTCAAGCAGCAAGTTTTTCACTATTTAAAACACATTAAATGTCAGAACACTCATACAAACTGCTTTGTTCATTATTTTTGCCATATTTATGTGTACTAACAACCTGCGAAATGTTTAAAGTACCAGTGGCTCTATCAAACACCAAAAACTACTTAATTTGACAATAGCGAGAGTGTGACTTCTAGAGAAATGAGCAACACCTTTCCACAAAGAAAAAGTACTCCAGGAAAAGGAAAATTATCTTAACATTTAGTCAGTTTTCTATGACAATACTTACTTTTTACTCAACACATCTGCTTTTAAGGGCTCATTTGATTCTGAATCACTCACTGCATCCTCATCATCTTCTCCTACCATGCTTGAAAGGCAAACAAAGAAGGTAGCCTTTATCAATAATTTGCTGCTTAAAATTTGCTTGATCAAAGTAAAAATCTTACAACATTCAATTAAAAAGACTCCTTTGATACTTTAAAAACTTTCCAAACAAATTTAAATACTGATATGAATGACAACTTTATATTCTAGTACACAGGTGTTAATTGAAATAAAATCAATAAAAGTCAGACTTATTCCATTCAAAGCCTAAAGCCTGCTAGACACAAACCTTCTAAAAATTGACTTTGTCCTTTTTGACAGTTCTTCTTGAGAGCTATAAGCCTTTATTTAGAAGCTTTGCAAATTGGAATATGTTGCATATATCCAGTAGGCCTGCACAGTCTGTCAGGCGATCAGCTATACTAAATACTACAACATCCACAAAGTCAATTTTGTTGTAAGACTTACGCCACCTGGCATCATTTAGGATAGCAGTTTATCAAGCCTACCTGTGGTAAGGAGTACTTGGCTCATCTATTTTCATCAAGCCATAATCCTTGCCTGCTGGGTGGTAAGTAGCTATGATGTTCATTTCATCCCACTTCTGGGATTTTTTACTGAAATAAGAAAAGAAAGTTAAATTTTCTTATCTTCTAAAAACAATTAGTTCTGTTTGGCCACAGAAAAGGAATGTTTAGAACGTCTTTTGACCTCTACTACATACTAGGCACAAAGAATTTTGTTATGACACAAGCGTGTTCGAAGTATGGCTATTAAACACTGTTCTCTATATATTTTAGTTAAGTCATGACAAATTATCAATGCAACTTAATTTCCTTAACAAGTCACAATAGCTAAATAAACTCAGTGATCTTAATGTATTCTTATTCATATACACACATGTATATTTTCTCAAGAGACTACCGGTCTTGTTCAATCACTGTCCCATTAACTGTTTGCTCTTTTTACAAGTTACTGTAAAATCATTCTTCCTCTTATTACAACCCACAACACTTCAACAAAACCAAATAACTTCCACCTCGGCTCTGCTCAGTGAGCTGCTATGATTACTAGCGAAACTGTTGCATAAACAATACCAACAAATAACTTCCTGCAGTAAAAGAAATAGCACTGAACAGGCTGGTTATTAATACTGCTTTTGTCATCCTGAAGTGGAATCATAAACCAGAACTGATTCACTGCTGTAATTAAGCCGAGGGAGTGTCACATTTTACACAGACAGGCACCAGTGATGTTACATTATTTTGAATTTCCTCAATTGATCAGAGAATGTACCCTTTCATGTATATTTGCAGAAACAAAAGTCCATCCACCTGGACTGAAAAAATATATAAACCACAAGGAAAGCAACAGTCTTGTGGACAGAGGAACAGTCACTCCTCCACTGATCTAAAAGCCACAGAAATGTTTAATCAACAAAATTTACCAGGTTCCACATTTTCTCTAAAAATGTTATTGCCAGCTTCATACAAGGTGGACTTTCCAAAAGACTAAAGCAAGAAATTTATCTTTAGAATAGTAATATTAAAAAATGGAATTATTTTACCTTATGCATTAACATATTCCTGAAGTGTTTCAAATTATTATTTAAGGAAGCAAATGTTACAGGGCTTTGTTGGTTTTTGTTTTGGTTGGTTGGTCTGGAGCAGGAGGGAGGCAGTTGGCTAGAAGAATTTAACTTCTCTTATTTAAGCACAGACTGTTCCAATAACAAATTACCCGATTTGAAAAATATATTCAGTCTCAATAATACAGCTGCTCTTGAGCAGAACACTCTCTGTAAAACCAAGCTGATAAAGCAAAATTCCAAGCACAAACTAAACTTTACATTTATGGACAGCACAGCATAATACAATGGAAAAAAAAATAAAGGGATAAAAAAATATATGTGGGAGTTAATGCTGGACACTACATGCCACAGACTTACACTCCAGAAATGAATACAAATTCAGTGAGCTTAATCCCTTTAGCATATAGTAACCAATGCCAAACTCTCGTGTTTGAGGTTTCAGATCTATTTAATCATTTTGTTCGAACTGCAACACAAGAATTGCAACCTAAGCGGACAACACATGAGTCAGATTGCCTGCTCTGGCAGGGTGGAGAGTCATGAGCTTCATGATGACAAAGCAAGAGCTCTGGTCTAGGAATGCCAGTTATTCAAACCTATCTAATTAGGAGTCAAAAAAATCATCAGTTAAACATCAGCTAAACGCCTGCTTAAAGTTCATCTATGACTAACATAAGATGATCATACAGTTACATAGTGAGCGCATGAGAATTTTTACTAGCCATAGCAGTTGAACAATGGTACACAGCCTTTATAAAGAGGTAGAGCTTAGTGGAAGAGGAAACATGACAGATGGGAGAAACTCCCGTCACATGCTTTGTGTTCACCCAGAGCACATCAGGGTTTACTGCCTGGGCTTACAACTCAATACCTAGTAATAATATTGGCAACCCAAGAACAGTCTCTTTGACGTACACTGCTCTTGAAATTAAGACACCCTACCACTGTAATTCAGTAACTTACAAATACAAGACTGAGGAAGACTCTAGTGGTTTAGTTTTTCACACTCATTTCTTTAAACTTAGATTCCAACATTAAAAGCCCTGGCTGTGGAACACCTCCCAGAGCACAATTTAAAATTCAGCTAGGAAAAAACCTGTCATTACTGGCAAACAGACAAACGTGTTGGTTTACCCCTCCATGTAAAAAGCCATCACAGGAGGGTGACTAAGTGCTCTAAAAACACACACCTCCCTTGATTGTCTACAGTTTATCATGCTTAGGCATGCCTGAGCAGCATAACATTAATGATAGGGCTCAGGACCATCACAGGAAAACACTTCCTGACACTCCTTCAGATACAGAAATACAGAACCTAATCTTCCGTAGGAAAATCAGATTTGAAAATTCTCAGAAGTGCTCATTCGTATTCTCTCGCATCTTTAAATACATATAATAATTTATTTTGAAACCACACCTTGATAGGAGAGAAGTTTCTGCAGCATTATTACTCAAAGGAACACCTCTCACACCTCACTTGCTCCTACCATAGCAGACTCTTCTCGTGCCTTTTCCAACACCAGCTGTGGATGCACTGGATAGAGTTCCAGTGGTGGCCCAATTTCACAAGCTTCCCTCTTGCTTGTGAAAGGAAGGAAGTTTTCCAAATAAAATTATCATCACTAACAACAGTGCAAGGTCAATAGTGATGCAAATACATGAGAGCTTTACTGAACATGGTGCTTTAAAAGATGACAGCTGACACAATGAGCTCTTTCATCTGCAGCTATTTTTAAAGGTATTCAGGTCTGAATTTCAGTATTAGAAATAAGCAGAGAGGCTGCTGACAGATGTGCACGAAGAAAACAGATACCTTAATTTATAAACTATTTTTTAATCTTTAAAGAAAATCATAGCTGTACTGCTTATCATTAAGTACAAAATTATTTTTCTGAAGTCAGAAATAACACTGATTTAAATGAACTGTTGCCAACCAAAAATAATACCTGCACACAGACCAGCTATAAATACCCTATACTGATCTTTCCAGGAAATCTTCTAACACAGCCTGTCAGGTTTAGCCAACATCCTTTAACTTGCAAGGCAATTTCAGAATTAATCTAATTGACTTTATTGACTCACATTGGTAAACAGGAAATAGAAATTGGACTCCTGACCATTTAACTGCTTTGCAAGAAATTACTGTGAACTATAACCAATACATGATATACTCAGTTCATCGGTTTGTAATCTAATTTCTGATTATTCTTCAAGATGGTACAAAAGCGGCTGCAGAAAATGAAACAGAGGCTACTAACAGCCACTTTTACTTTATGTCCAGTGTGGTAGTAAACACCTTGTGCTACATTATATTAAAACAAAAAAAAAGGGGAAAATACATTTGCGTAGCATATTGCTACTTACACCCTCCTTCAAAAACATCATCTCATTCCTTCAGTTGCAGTAATTTCTCTCTGGAAAGCAGAAGCAGCTAACACAGGCAACACAGTAAACCCAAAACTTTTCATTCTTACCTTGCTGCCTGTAGCCTATATTCATGACTTAACTAAGCAAAGAGGAAAGGAATATTAACGTAATAAAAAAATAAAATTGCATCTCCATTTTATTTTATTATTATTGCTCTTCTAGCAAGAGTGAGGTCCCAAATGAAGAAAACCATTAAATGCAATTTTAGAAACAGAATTCAGGTCAAATCCTGGTCACCACAATGTGATGGAGTCTCACAACAACATTAGGCATAGCATACTGGGTGCTAACATCAGGAAAAGTGCAAGAATTCTTACTGGTCAAGGCCAGCTGCTGGCTGGCTAAAGACCACTTCTTGCATATTTGGACCAACTCACCCTGTTACAATTAAACCAAGACGTTCTTATCATTCAAAAACAAACCACATGGCCACTACATATTCTCAAGTGCGAGATCTTTACAGAGGAATCCTGCACAACCAAGAATCCGTATTTCTTTCTCATGTTTCAACCCAGCAAAGGTCCTCCCTCCAGGGACACGCTTCTGGTTACAGAGAAGCCAGCTTTGAGATGACCGAGAATAACTCTCCCATGGCAAAGCTATTTCCCAAACTGTGAACTATCCTCGTAGCAACTGCAAAACCTTTCTGTTAGTCTTTCTGAACTAGCATTTAAAAGTAATACTGCTTCTACGAGGATCTCGTAAACGGCAAAGTATCACGTCAGCTCTTTCAAACGTCGCGCTCCCAGCAAGAGGCACGACTACAGCCCCCGGGGGCCCGGCGCTCAGGCAGCCCGGCTCCCCTCACCCAGGCGCGCAGCCCCGGCGCCCCTTCGCAGCGCATACCCTGCCCAAGCGGCATGCCAGCCTCCG